GCACTTTTAGATAAACAAGGCAATAATAGATGGCACTTGTGGAGGAAGGAAACAAAGTTCTTTATGAACCGCATTAGAGCTGACTATTTCTGTCAATGGTAAGTTTGTGATAACATAAGAAAAGTAGTTTAAATGTTTTGCCACTTCCTTGAGCAACTTAATATATAAATCTAAAGTAAATGCGAACGTAAGAAAAGTAGTTTAAATGTTTTGCCACTTGCTTGAGCAACTTAATATATAAATCTAAAGTAAATGCGAAAGTAAAAAGCATTGAATAATGTATTGCTTATGTTTATTGTTTAAACATGTTTTTGAAAGATTGTATTACTGTACTGTGTAAAAAAAAGAATTGCAATGCTGAAAAAGCTATTTCAGTGACAATGTTTGGATTTGAAATCAAAATAATGTATAAATGTTGTGTTTGTGGTAAACAGCCACAGATCAGTAGCGGACTCCTGTGTGAAAGCTGCTTCTCCTCTCACAAGAGACACCTAAGAGGGGAATTCACCCCATTTTCAAAAATGAAATTCAGGCCCTGAATAAATGTCTAAAAATCCTGATTGGAGTATCACTATTAATAGTTATAAATCATAAAAAAGAAGGCTTTAAAAAGATCGGTATCGGTGATCGGTATCGGCAGATACTGCTTTCTGTGATCGGCAATGGGTGATCGGCCTCAAAAATCCTGATCGGAGCACCCCTAAAAAAATACATATCTTTGAAAATTTAAAAATAGTGTATATTATCTGAAATAATTTTGCTTCAAGTAAATTTATGTTGTTTTTTAGGTGTATTTAGATATTTTAACTGCAAAACAAAAACACTGATTAATTAAAATGTTTTTTACTGTGTTCTTAGTACTTGTACAGCTTACCAACACGATTTAGTTACATAGCAGAGGGCAAAGAAGTGTGACGCAAGAAAGATGTCATTTAGTTACCCAGTTATGTCCTTTGTATCGAGAGCAATCAAAACTATTTAACATCAACTAAAGAACCGAAGGCACTGACTGTTGGAGGCACTCTGTTAAAGAACTGCAGCGTGTTGTTGTGACTGTATGTAGTTTCTGATTTTCGCAAAGAGTTGCATGAACATTTTTAGCACTACGATTCACATGATTGTATTTATTTTTTCTCACAATAATATGAACCTTGTATGTGAAAAAGAGATTAGATTAGTGATGGGTTTGCCATTCTTCTTGCCATGTTTCATTTTTGCTGTATCTTTTGTGTTCTTTTTTTTAATTTGTGTTCATAAAGTGACTCTTAAATAGTAGGATGGATTGTAAGAAAAAGACGTCAAGAGTATATATGTATAGATATAACTTGTCAGCAAAAAAATATATCAAAAGACAATGTGAAAAAATTTATTTACAAGGTATTATTCTTTGAGTGTATTTCAAGACAGATCCATGTGTCAGCTGTAAGAAGAAATAGATGGCATCATCTAAAACTGTTACGCTTGCATCCGTGTTATACTTGCAATGTGATTCATATCAATAAAGCCAGTCTTTATTTTACACTTCTTGCCTAAGGGAAATGAAATCATGTGCCATATGTGAAGATCAATTTGCAATATCCGAAATATAAATATAGAAAACAATAATATCCTCATTTGTCTGCATAAAAAAAGATTCTGTGCAGATAATGACCCGACTCCAGCTTCCGGAGCCAATGGAAATGTCAAATGGAATTGAATAGTCTAAAGGAAAAAATAGGACCAGTCTAAAGGTAGATATCATTACCAGCCTATATTCTTTCTCCATGGCAACGGGGGCAGAAAGTGATGAGCTCATCTGTTTGGCTGCAGTGAAAGAGCTGATCTGGAAGCGGTGGGACACGCGCTAAAGACAGAGCAACTCATTAGCCCTCAGCTCTTCTCTAAAGGCAGTGTCAAATTGAATTGTCTGGTCTGTCTGCGCTCAGCAAATGCACATTTAATTCAAGCCACCGTGACACTGGCAAACTGCTATTCGGGGAAGACATCAAGCGCTAAAGGTGCTTAGATTTAATGGCATCTCTTTCTTCTTTCATCTCAAGGTAGCCATCAGAGCAGCTAATCTAATTCTCCTCAACTCATCAGTGCCATGGAGCCACCACATAATTGAGCTTCTCTATGTGACGTTCTCATCGTGATGATCAAGAGTCATCTTCATTCTTTCTAATTGTTTATAATGTAATTATTTCACATCAAACATCTAACGCTTGCAGATGCAACAGACAAGAGATGGTTCACCCAAAAAAGAAAATTCTCATCTGTTTAATCATGTTGTGCAGTGTTGTTTTGGACTAAATTATCTTCTTTTGTGTTCACAGAAGAAAGGAAATCATATGTAATCATAGTAAGTGATGGCAGAATTTTCATTTTTGGGTGAACTATTCCTTTAATAACATATTGAGCCATATTGCAGTTTTTTTAATAGGCGGTGTGGCCCTGTTAGCTCCTGCTGCTAGATGGCATGATTGGCACCATCTGGCTGCAAAAAATAATCTTTCTCCATTGAGGGCCATTCAAAATTTGCCATGCAGTACATTCTGATGAAGATATTTTTGCAAGCAACATTTCAGGTTGGAACCTGCAGTATGAACCTTTTATTTTCATATAGATTAAATTCTTTATAGAAAGTTTTAGATTTTGGGGGGGGGGCTTTTATTTTGTTGGGTACTTTTGGAACATTTGTTTTTGTATGTTATGCTCTCTCCGTAGCTTATGCATAATTAAGGCCCCCCCCCACTTTCTGCAGGCAGCCATGAAACTGCCATTAAGATGAATGGGGAAAGCTAACAAATAGCTCTCTACAGATATTACAGGCCTCCTTGAACCTAACCAGCTCAGATTTAATTAAACAGTAAGTTAAATGCATCCTCAGGGAGTTTAAAGTTCAGAAATGAATATAAATAACTGGCAGTATTGAAGACAGGTTTCTAGTTCAGCCCTTATTACAAGCACAAAAATAAGTGCACTTAATCTTAGACTTAGGCCCAATCCCAATTCTATTTTATACCCCTTCTCCTTCCCCTACCCCTTGTCCCTTGAAACAGAGTGTCAAGGGGTAGGGGTGAAAATATTCCCCTAAGAATTGGGACACCACTACTATGCCGT